GGAAAGAGTCGGTTGCTTTACAGCTGTAACAGGCTTACTGATAGTGGCAAAACAGGAAGCTAGTCAGAAAATGTCATGGAGGAAAAGGAAGTGCTCCAAAAATTCTGATTATTCGCTCATTACTGTACCCAGAAAAGCTCTTGCTGATCTTTTAATTTCTAACTCTGCTTTAGGTCCAGTGAGGAAATACTGCCTGATGCTCTACCTGGGCATGACTTGCAGAGGAGCTGACTGGCAGCCTCCTTGTGCAGACCTTGCCTTCACTTACACCACTGGGGGGACAAATCTCACAAAATATCCTAAAGGTTACCTGGAGTGACCAAGGGACAAGCTCAGTCTGCTCCAGCCTTCCTGTCTGGAGGTGGTGGAATACATGGCTGCTCCTTCCTTATTAGGGAGCTACAGCCTGGGACCATCCCACATTTTTTAAACTGCAGGCTGTCATCAGCGATTAATTTCTCACAGATTTCTGGATGCTAAGGATTTTGTAGAGACAATCGGTTTCTGTGCATCCCTCCCGTTGCATTTGGGATAGCTGTGTGGAATCTGTGTACCAGTAGTTACTCATCTTTATTAACTTGCAGATTAGATTCCTGAAAGATTTTCTGGGAATAAGTTTCTCAGTGTAGGAACTGAAGACTGTGAATTACAGGCTCAATTTTTTAGTAAGTAAGTACTTGGAAAGTATTCCTGTCCACAGTACCGTTGTCACCAGAAATCCTCGGACAGCAGTTTGGAACCCACTGGTCTAGGGTAGTGCAATTTTTGAAAAACAAACATGGCACTACAGGAAGAGGAACCACAAGGTGGCAATCTCTCTCCGTACTTCTACTGGCAAACCTCTGGCAAAAAGGTCTCGGACAGTAACCATGTACAGCTACAGACGGTTGGTCACATCTTGTATCTGGACTCAGAGCAACATTAATTTTGATCCTGGATTTTCTCTTCTGCACGCTTTTTCCTTTAGGATGAAACTCTCGGTCATGAAGAGGTGGCATTAGAGGCTGCTCTTTGCTGGCTTTTCAATCCTGTGCCCCAAACTGGGCACCAGATGTTGCTTCTTAGATGGCCAACTAGCAGTGCTGCTTGCGTGCGTGCTGGCAGAGCTACTGTGTGCTTGGAGAGAAGGTTTCCTCCTGTGCTGGAGGCACTGTCTGGTTTGGAGCATTGCTAACCTCGTGTTACATTAACGTACAATCCAACTGTTATGTGAGGGTCCCACTTCATGCACTGAGGCTTCTCAACAGCCGCAAAATAACCTGGATGTTAGGACTAGGCAGTGACCTTTAAGCTGAGCGTGACCTATAGACTGGAGGGAACTGCAGGGGCTTAGTGACAACAGCGCTGCTCCCAAAAAGATGTGGCCAGAGGTTGTAAAGAGGCAGAAGAGGAATAGTGCTCAGTCTGAGGTGGAGCCACTGTGGTCCTGCAGTATCAAGCACCATCTGTTGCGATGAGCTCCATCTCCATCAGGACATAGTTGTGTTCCTGCCAGATGTTAGCTTACATGTGCTACATGTAAAAGTAAACTGGTGCAAAAGCTGTGGTCTGATGTGCTTTCAGTAGGATTTGCCCCGCATAAGTGACGACGTGCTAGCCAGCCTCTTGCCGAGGGGATGCGCTCCAGAAGTTGCAGGTGTGTGGCTGGAGCATGTTCAACGAGTCAAGATAGGAAATACCTTCCAAAGCTCCAAATAAGACAAAACAAACTGAGCTTTAGCACATGCTCAATTGATTGAGTCTTTGGCAAAGTATGACATGAATTTGCAAGGCTCTCACTGAGGTCTGTTCTGGCTGTGTCCTGCCTGGTGAGTCCTTCAGCAAGCACGCCACGGCTGTCCTTGTTTTCTTCTTATGCTGGACCCTCCTTCTTTTACCTGTTCTCCCTTTATGAAGTTGCTCTTCAGTTAGGAACAATAACCTGCTTCCCACTCTCCAGGACTGCTCAGGATCTGCTTTACGCTGTGGCTGCCACCACTGAACTCCCTCTGCAGCCTGCAATGTCCACGTCCGCTGCCACTGGTGACATCTCTGATCGTGGCTGTCCTCTTCCACCTCTGAGTGTGCAGGTCCAGGCAGGACCTGGAGGAGGCAGGAAGCATGGACGTGGTGAGTTTTGTAAAGTCCTTTCACATCACCTTGCCTCTAAGGTCTGAAGCCAGATTCTCAGAGGCTACAGGTTACGATTCACTTCCTTCCTGGCTGATGGGAGCCTAGGGGGTCTGCTGTCTGCTGGTACTCTAGAAAAGGGCCAGGGGCCACTGGGGGACTGCTAGTGGGGATAGAAATGTTTGCAGTCCAAATCATGATGGGAAACAGAAGGAGTAAAGAAAATCTGGATTTATTTTTTTTTTCCTCCAGAAGACGGGAAGAAATCTAACAAGCACAAGGCTGGCTTCTCCTGGAACATGTGTGCAACATGATTGTCACTAATGCTCTGTAGCCAGCTGAGAAAAGATACTTTACCCCAAGTAAGTGAAATAAGCACTGAAATGTGGGATATATGATAACTTCTGAGGCAGAAGGAATAAGACCGCAGGCAAGGGAGATCCAAACACTGCACTGTGTCTTTTTTTTTGTCTTTTTTTTTTTTCTTTCCCATCTCTGAGTCTGTGGTGTTCCATTAACCTCTTTTCTCTATCCTGGCCATGGTTGCTGCAGGTTTGCAAAGCCTTACCTAGCCTTTTGGATTATGTCGTGTTTGGTGCTTGGTTTGTGACAACCAGTTTTCTCCTGAAATTATACCAAAATTCTGCTGATTTGATTGAAACTGTTTTCCAAGTATTTTGGTTAACAACAAAATAAGTCCACTCC